TCTTCTTCTTCTTCTTCTTCTTCTTCTTCTTCTTCTTCTTCTTCTTCTTCTTCTTCTTCTTCTTCTTCTTCTTCTTCTTCTTCTTCTTCTTAATCGGCGTCTCTTGTGTAGTGGTCACAAAGAGGACGCGTTTCCGATTCCACTGCCGGTTGGGGTTTTTTTGTTGTGTTTTTTTTTATTCTTGATTTTTTTTTTTATTCAGTATCCTTGTTTGATGAGATGTTGTACTCCTGTTACCCCGTGCTGTCACTAACAGGCAAGATCGAAAGAGAAAGCATGGTCCAAAGAGAATTAGATGTATAGATGGATAAAGACATTCCACAAATAATTTTTTTCAAAATATACATTAACCCTGCTTTCTACAGGTCCGTATGAACGCTTCTCAAGTTTCCAAGACTGGAATCCCTTCGGAACCGGAAATTCTTGGTGGGAGTGGCACCGGAAGAGGAAGAGACGTCAGGCGGAACAAGGTACCGTCCACAGCATCGAGCTGTCTATGATAGCAGACTACAGTGTCTGGAGCAAGTGAGTTCAGACGATATTCATATCACCGTTTTATGTCAATTTCATAATATTGCTAAAAGGTTGGCATCTTTGACATGGAGATATGTTCGAATCGACTTCCACGCTTGATGTGAAAGATCCCGGAAATAAAGTGTTTTACACCTAGCAGGACCGGAAGGCGTTTTTTAAGAACAAAAGAAATAAAACATAAAAGTCAGTGGTGGTATGGAACTATGGTTTATTGTGAATGATAGTCTGTTTATGAATGCATGTAAAACATTAAATGTAAATGTTTTACGCCTCCATCGACACGATTTAGATCAATTAATAACTCGAATACTATTACCCCTACTGACCATTGTCGAAAACTTTACAAGTACTTATTCATATCGACAGCATCATCCTACAAGCGTCTTAACCAGTTTTTAAAGTTTTGGCAGATTCAAAGAAAAGAAAACACCCAAATCAGAACCATGAACTGGGCATTGTTGTTTTTTTTAAGGGGGAGGGGGGCTGTAAATGAAAAACTAGACAGGAAAATAAAAAAAGAAATAGTACAAAACTATAATTTTAAAGATGGTCCAAGGTGTCTTTTTTTCGAATGGCGGCTTAAACGGGAAACCCTAAGAAATATTATAATATTTGGGTAATTGTGGAATGGCTCTGACGCTGTGTGTTTATGTGAATTAAACTACACATTAATTGACGCTTCTCTCAGGTTTCTCAAGTTCGCCAATAAGGACGAGAACAAAGCTTATCAAGAACTCCAACAGTACTACCAGTTCATGGCAGTCATGGTGAGATCAGATCCACGAATTAATTTGTATTTCTTTTCAGTAATTCCAAATTGTTCCTTCCACTTTTGGCTTTTACATATTATATATATTATGTTTTGAATTTGTTTTAAAAATCTAAAAAAATATTGAATTTTAAATTTCCGTCAATTTCAAAAATTAATTCAAATACACTCCAATCGGAACAATTTAGATAATTTAGGATGCAGACTTTGACACTGTCTATCAGGGCCAACTCGGGTAAAGAAGGATACAAAGGCCGAACAGAAAGACTGAGATGCTCGATTAAAATTCTCCACACCCGAGAATAAGATAAGATAATACTCTATTCTCACATACGGATTCGAACCTGTGCCTCCTGGGTACGACAACGCAGCGCCCAACCACTACACTACAGACGCCGATAAATATCTTTTGTGAAATGATAGATAAATCAAAATAATGTTCCGAAATGTCTATTATCTGGCGAGTGAAAAAAATCTGTTTCTCTCTTTTTTCCTGACGTATCTAGTCCATCCCCGATTCCCCTACCTCTCTCTCCCTCGCTCCTCCCCCCTCTCTCTCTCTCTCTC